GCAGATTGCCATCATTTGCCTTGGCTTTTAGCTGGGGACTTTAATGAGATGTTGTCTGTGGATGAGAAACTTGGTGGAGCTGTGACTTCTCGAGTGCAGGGGTTTCGCAATTGGTTTGACGATCATGGTATGGTGGATTTGGGTTTTTCTGGTCCTAAGTACACTTGGAGGAATACTAAAGTTAGTGAAAGGATTGACAGGGCCATTTGCACGATGAATTGGAGAGGTTTATATGCTGAGGCTCATGTTAGACATTTACCTAGAACTACTTCAGATCATAATCCCCTTAAAATCTCTCTGCAATCTTGTTTTCATGCTGCCCCTCATCTTCGCCCTTTTAGATTTGAGGCGATGTGGTTGAAGCATGAGAAGTTTGGTGTTTTCATTAATAATACTTGGGGTAAGTTGGATGGCTCTGCTATGGAGAAGACCTTTCAGCTGGTTGCTCGTCTTAAACATTGGAATATTAATGTTTTTGGGCACCTTCGGTTGAGAAAGGCTAGATTATTAGCCCGGCTAAATGGTATTCAAAAGGCCCTCTGCGAAGGGTTTAATCCTTTTCTCAGTCGGCTGGAAGTCTCCTTAATGGATGATTTTAATAAAATTCTTGAGCACGAAGCTCAGTTTTGGAAGCAAAAGTCTAGGGTTCAGTGGCTTCAGGAAGGGGATCGTAATACAGAATTTTTTCATCTCACCACTGTGATTCGAAGGCGAAGAAATAAAATTGAGAGTTTGCGGAATAATGATGGTATGGTTGTTGCGACTGCCCTAGGTATTAAAGCCTTGGCTGTTGAGCATTTTGCATCTCTCTTTACTCAATCACACTTGGCTCCTACTGATTTGGATATTCCTAATCTGTTCCCTCTGATTAGTGGTGAAGATTTGGATGTTTTAACTAAGGATGTGGATTTAGATGAAGTTAATGAAAGCCTCTTTGGTATTGGAGGCCTTAAAGCTCCTGGGATAGATGGTTTTCCAGCGTGCTTTTATCAAACCCAGTGGGGCCAATGTGCTACTGATATTTATGCTATGGTGACCAAGGCTTTTACTGAGTGTTCCTTTCCTGCTGAGTTAAATCATACCCTTATCACGTTGGTACCTAAGGTTGATAATCCCCAGACTATGGTGCATTTTCGTCCCATTAGTCTTTGTTCAACTCTTTATAAAGTTATCTCTAAGATCATTGTGGCTAGATTGAGGCCTATTTTGCCTGTTCTAATTAGTCCTAATCATGTTAGTTTTGTGCCTAGAAGGCATATTACAGATAACATTCTTATAGCACAGGAGCTTATGCATAAGTTCAAGGTTTCTAAGGGCAAGAGAGGGTTTATGGCTTGGAAAATTGATCTCTCTAAGGCGTATGACAGATTGAACTGGCATTTTATTGAGGTGGTGTTGGCTGAATTAGGTCTGCCTGCGGTGTTAAGGAGGTTGATCATGCATTGTGTTTCTACTGTTAAGTATCAGATTTGTATTAATGGGGAGCTCACTGATTCCTTTACTCCTATGAATGGTATTAGGCAAGGGGACCCTTTATCCTCCTATTTGTTTGTGCTGTGTGTTGAAAAACTTTCTCACATCATCTTTGATTTGGTTCATAAAGGTAATTGGAAAGCTGTTAAATCTTCTCAATCTGGGCCTGTGGTTTCTCATCTCTTTTTTGCAGACGATCTTATTCTTTTTGCTGAAGCTTCTGTTAAACAAGCTCGAATTATGAAGGGTTGTTTGGAGCTTTTTTGTCAAGCGTTAGGACAAATTGTAAACTATGATAAATCTGCTGTTTTTTGTTCCCCCAATACTTCGAAGAAGGTGGCTAAGGAGATTAGTTGTATTTGCGGATCCCCTCAGACTAGTGACTTGGGCAAATACTTAGGCATGCCTCTTCTTCATACAAGGGTTAATCACACTACTTATAAGAAGCTGCTGGATAGGGTGCACAGTTGGTTGGCTTCTTGGAAAGGCAAACTTCTCTCGTATGCTAGTCGCGCAACTTTAATCCAAGCTGTGACTTCCTCTATTCCCATTTATGCTATGCAAACTACTAAACTCCCTGTGAGTGTTTGTGATGAGTTAGATCAGTTGAACAGAAATTTTTTCTGGGGAGGCAGTGAAAAATGAACCAAAGTTCATCTTTGTCAGTGGAATTTGGTTTGTTGTCCAAAGTGTAAAGGAGGGTTGGGCTTTAAGAAGTCTGCTGCTATGAATCAAGCCTTGCTTGCTAAAGTTGGTTGGAGAATCCAGAACAAGGATGGGGGGCTGTGGGCTAGGATTTATAAGGCCAAATACCTTAAAGGTACGTCAATTTTGGACCCTTCCCTGATTCCAAAGCAGGTCTGTTCCTCCACTTGGAGGGGTATTTTGCATGGGGTGGAGTTACTCTCTAAAGGTATGGTGTGGAGGATTGGGAAAGGAGACACAGTTAAGTTTTGGCAAGATAGGTGGCTGAATGGAAGACCTCTTTTTGAACAAGATGGGGTTTTGCATGTTGGGGATGTGACCTGCAATGTCTCCAGTTTTTTAAAGGGGGATTGGTGGGATATTGACAAATTAAGGGCAGTTTTGGAAGAGGATTTGGTTCAGCAAATTATCTGCGTTCCTGTGGGAGTGACTGGTGCTGTTCCTGATGCTCAAATTTGGGGCATGCTGCAAATGGTTTGTTCTTTGTAAAAACTGCCTATACTCTCTTGTTTCATGGTAGTGAGTGGCTTTTGTATGACTGGCAGTTCTTGTGGAAATTGAAGATTCCCCCTAAGCTTCAAATTTTCCTTTGGCTGGTGTTCCAAGGAAAAATCCTGTCTAATGAGCAGAGGGTTAGGAGGCATCTGGTGGATGATCCTGCCTGTACCTACTGTAATTGGCCAGTTGAGTCCATTTTGCATATTTTTAGGGACTGTGAGAAGGTTACTAGTGTTTGGCAGGCTATGCTTTGTCCTGGTGCTCATCCCCATTTTTTCCAGATGGATTTCCACCCTTGGCTTCGCTCTAATCTTTTGTCTAAAGCTATGTGGGGTGATCATGTGCCATGGCCTTTAGTTTTTGTCTTTACTTGCTGGGTTTTATGGAAATGGAGAAATAATCAGATTTTTAATATTGACAATGAGGCCAGTTTTGAGCCTGAGAAGATTATTGTTGCTGCTGTAAGGGAGTGGTATACGGCTAGCCAAGTTGGGGGTACAAAGGCTCCTAAAATGCCTCTTTTGCTTACTTGGGATTGCTATTGCTAAAGGCATTCGTAGGCTTTCTGTGGAAATGGATGCTGCTACAGCTGTCCTCCTTGTTCAGCAGCATTCTAGGCTTGGCTCCCATCCTCTAGCTTCCTTGATTGCTAGCTGTTGTGCAATGGTGAGACAAATTGGTGTTTGTTCTGTGAGCCACATATACAGGGAAAGGAATGCTGTGGCGGATTGTTTGGCTAAATGGAGCCATAACCTTGATCTTGGGTTGTGTGTGCTTGATGCTGCTCCAAGCTGGCTTGGTTCTGTTTTAGTTGATGACTTATTAGGAGTTCCTAGAACTCGTTGGGTTAGTTTAGCTTCTGGCTAAGGTTTTGTTGTTTTGGGGTTTGACCCCCCCTCTTTACCAAAAAAAATAAATAAAACCTTCAAGATTTTAACCCAAATTTCCCATATTCAAAATATCAAAGCCCCAAAGTTGACAAAATTTCAACACCTAGTTCAAGAAATAACTTATTTTGTCCTTCCTCACACACGCATTTTGTGTTCATGAAATAAATAGTTATATAAATATATAATATTGTTACGTAAATAAATATTATAATATTATTATATAATATTTATGCCCACACTTTGACAAGACGTTGAATCCGCCACTAACACACCTTGCCTAACTAAGCCCAACTACTGCCCTATCTAACCTCTCTCATCTTTATTATTTTCAGCGGCCATCTTCCAAAAGATCTAAGAGCATCCACAGTGGGGGGTATATATGGGGGTTTATGTTAAATATACACCCCGAGTCACCGGAATGGTCTCCAATGGTGAGATGTAAATGGATGTAAATATACATCACCATCATGGGGATGTAAAATAAAATGTATATTTACATCCATTTTTACATCTCTTGCAGGCGGGACCCACCCGAGAAAAGAGAAGAAAAATGAAGAAAAGTCAACATAAAAGGCTGGGACCCATGGCTACACCCCCGAATTTACACCCCCACACTGGAGCAAAAAACATATTTACACCCCCCGGAGGTGTAAAGGGGATGTAAAAGTGGCTTTACACCCCCGAATTTACACCCCCCCACTGTGGATGCTCTAAGAAGCTCAATTATCTCTCTCTCTCTCTCTCACACATTTTGTGCCCTTTTCTCTTCTATGTGCTTTGAATCTCACATACCCAGATGTTGAAATAACTTGGAAAAAAAAAAAAAAAACCAGTTGAGAACTGAAAACCGGCGAAACTGCATCAGTTTTGTAATGGAATCGCACTGACAGTTTCTCTAGCCATTTTGGCCATATCCAAACCGGACCGTACCTGAAATTTTTTTATAGTTATGATTCCGATTTTGAGAAGAAACTGCACCACGCCCACCCCTAATTGGATATGTAAATAAAGAAGAAGTTAATAAACGGAGACCTCAATAAAAAATCATATTAAAACTATTTAGGCTTTAAAAAAAAAGATGTTTTCCATATCCATTGTTATTATTATTATTATTTATACAAATAATATTCTACTTTAATTTAATCTAAATTATAGAGAGCGAGATTTGAACAAATGTGTTCAAGCCAACTTGACTAACCCAATATCTTCAACCCCATATTGTTATTAATTATTTTCAGTAGATAACATTTGCGATGTTCTATTGTTGTCCACAAGAAAAGACAGTAGGAAGAAAAGTTGAACAAAGAAAAGAAAGTTAAGAAAAGCAGAAGGAAAATAAATAGAAGGCTGAAAAAATTCGTACAAGGAAAAAGAAGAGGTTAAAAAAGGGAGACCTCAATAATAATAACCCCAAAAGCTAAAAAATATAAGAAAAGAAAGAAAAAGATAGCACATGAAAACAACAAAAGAAAAGAAAGCAAAAGCGTAGGAGAACGTACATGTGATTTCCTAGTATGATACGTTTGCTGTTTTGAACAAACAAAACCCATTTTTCTTTCGTAGATTGAAGAACTGCCATTTATTTTCTTTTCTCATTTGGAACCTGGGAAAATACCACATACCCAATTGCTTAAAGTCTTCGATTTTCTGTGGATAACCAGGGAAATAGCTACAATTTGGTAAGCAATTCATTTGGTTTGCTTTAAATTTTGTTGTGATTTTGAAAATCATTGTCTGGGTTTTCGTTTACTGCCTTCTGTTGCCTGAAAACTTTAATTGTTATTGTATTTTGTTTACGTTTAATCAGCTGCTTTCTTTCTGTACCGGCTTGCGTAAGTTATTTTATATATTTGTAGCTTTGATTGAAAATCTTGTACATTCTTGAATGGTCATGAGTTTGGTTGGTTGAACTTTTGTTTCTCCTTTGATATGTTTAACTTCTATGTTGATGTGAATTGTAGATTTCTTATTTTATTTTGCATGCTTAATTCAGAGAGATTGAAGAACTAGAGAAATTTGGTTTATTAGGAATATAAAGAAAAAGGAGAGGCTTTTTACTTTTGCAGTGATTGCTATTTTGACAATGCATAATCCAACTTCCATTTCCTTTCTTTTTTTATTTTTATTTTTTATAGTTCTGCTAATATTGATACACTTTTGTTGAAGTAAATTTGAATAAGTTTTCTCCTTTTCAGATTTAAGGTGTATATTCTTCTCCGTAAGTTGAAGTGGTGGTCTTGGATTCACTTTGACTATTTCAAAATTGAAAGGATTATCAGCTTGATACAGGCCAGTGAATTCGTCAATCATTAAGCTGATGGCCACTTCTGAAGCAGTTCTTCAAGTTTTTTGCGGGGCTGTACCACGCCTTTGTAGTACTGATTCATGTTTTAGCAAATGTGATCCTATATTTTCTTCTAAATACCAACTAAAATGTCGGAAGAGAAGAGTCTCAAGATACATGCAATTGCTCAGTTGTTCAGGTATGCAACGAAGTCGTATAGGAAATTATCGATTTCGGGGGATAGGGAGTGGTTTGTTTGGAAATATGACCGTAGGTGATTCTTGGATTCAGAGTTGCAAGTGCCAACAAGCTGAAAGTATAAGTGGGGCAACTACAGAAGATGAGAATGGGACATGGTTTGTGGATAGTGCAAAGAAATTGAACACAATCAACAACATGGTGAATGCGCCGAATGCTTTGGAATTTCAAGATGTTCAGCAGTTGAAACAGGAAAAGGAGGGCTTGTCACCTAATGGAACAAATGGAACGGTTAGGGATGCCTTTCACAAGATTAGTGTTGATTCGCTCGAGGATGAAGCATGGGATCGACTACGTGAATCTATGGTTTATTATTGCGGAAGTCCTGTTGGAACCATTGCTGCAAACGATCCTACCAGTTCCAATGTGTTAAATTATGATCAAGTCTTTATTCGTGATTTCATACCTTCTGGCATAGCTTTCCTCTTGAAGGGGGAGTATGATATTGTTCGGAACTTTATACTTCATACTCTTCAGTTGCAGGTAATGTTTGTAATCTGGTAATAAAGACCTTCTGTTATTCCACAGTCAATATTACTAAATGGTGCATTCTCATATTACTAAATTTTGTGGACTAGAAACATTGTCTAGTGGAACTTTTGTGGTATGCAATTGTATATATCAAATTCGGTTTAGATTCTCAATCAAATTCGTGTATATGTGTGTCTATGCTTGTATTCATGTGTGCATATATACGGAGAGGGATTCAAATATGGGACACAATGTTCGAGCTCACCCTGCAATGGTGTCTAATGAGCGGAATTGTCTATTTTTTGGTCCACTTGAAGAATAATGCTCGCAAAAATAATCCAAATTGGAAAACATTTAGCCATGTGATTATCATCACAATTATTTCAGTGTTAATCAGAAAACACTGTATTTATTTTATCCCAATTAGATGTCTAAATGGTTCTGATTTAGCTAATTTCTGCTAGATGATCCTTAAAAATAGACAATCTGGATTTTTGCACTGCATTGCGGGATGGGGCCCACCATGTTTTCCTTACGTCTTAAGGATCTCTTACTTGAGGCTTCTCTGTGTGTGTGTCCAGTTATATGCAACCAGGAGTTAACTTATTTGGATCTCTGTCCATGTAACAACATTCTTGTAAGAGGACGTTTCGATTTCAAAGCAGACACCCATTCATTAGATAGAGAAGAAGATCACAAAGATTTCGTGATCCGCTGCCGAACTTGTTCAAATTATACTTCATATCATATGTATTTTTTTTTAATCATTTATGTTTGTATTCTTGTTTTTTATCATCGTGAATCGTTTGTAAATTTGTTTTCTGTACTTGTTATCCTATTTATTAAGCGTATTCCTTATATTTCAGAGCTGGGAGAAAACAATGGATTGTCATAGTCCTGGTCAGGGTTTGATGCCTGCTAGTTTTAAAGTGCGTACTGTTCCTTTGGATGGTGATGAATCTGCAACAGAAGAGGTGCTGGATCCAGACTTTGGAGAGGCAGCAATTGGCCGTGTTGCCCCAGTAGATTCTGGTAAATTTATCTACCAGATCATCAAGTGTTTTAAAGTTAAAAAGATAGGTTTTTCTTTAGCACTTCTAACATTGGTGAAGTCTAATTCATATTGTTACGTAATTTTCAGGGTTATGGTGGATAATCTTGTTACGTGCATATGGAAAATGCTCTGGTGATCTCTCAGTTCAGGAGAGAGTTGATGTGCAGACAGGGATTAAGATGATTCTAAGGTTATGTCTAGCTGATGGTTTTGATATGTTCCCTACATTATTGGTAACAGATGGTTCTTGTATGATAGATCGACGTATGGGAATTCATGGTCACCCACTGGAAATCCAGGTATCATATTCTTGAACAGTCATTTTATGTGGCAAGAAAATATCAATATGAAGGGGACAAAAGTAGTCAATCAGTCTTGTGTTCCACGAACCATTTTTCTGTGCCAGTTTGTTTTAACTTGTAATTTAGAGTAATGTTTTAAGAAACAAGCATATTTATCCAAGTTGAAAATGACTAATTAATGATGGCAAGAGGTAATCTATCGGGTCCAGAAAACAAAGTATGAGATTGTAGTAAAGGGGAATGATGGGCCAGGATCCAAAAACACAATCAAGATGGAATGAAAAAGTTTAATCTTTTGTATCTTGTGATTTGGATTTTTCGTCTGTGCAGTCCCTTTTCTATTCAGCATTACTTTGTGCACGAGAGATGCTTGCTCCAGAGGATGGATCAATCGATCTTATTCGAGCACTCAACAACCGTCTGGTAGCTCTGTCATTTCATATCAGAGAGTATTATTGGGTTGATTTGAAAAAACTGAATGAAATCTACCGATACAAGACTGAAGAGTATTCATATGATGCAGTTAATAAGTTCAACATTTACCCAGATCAAATTTCTTCGTGGCTCGTGGAATGGATGCCCAATAAAGGAGGCTATCTAATTGGAAATTTGCAACCAGCTCATATGGATTTCCGATTTTTTTCTTTGGGAAACTTGTGGTCTGTAGTAAGCAGTATTGCGACAACAGATCAGTCACATGCTATTTTGGATCTAATTGAATCCAAATGGGGAGATTTGGTGGCGGACATGCCATTTAAGATTTGTTATCCTGCTCTTGAAGGCCAGGAGTGGCAGATTATCACTGGAAGTGATCCTAAGAACACGTAATAAGTCGAACTTAGTAATAATTTTTTTTGTTGTTGTTATTTTTTTGGTTTTTCCATCTCACACTTCATATTTTTTATGCAGGCCCTGGTCCTACCATAATGCAGGTTCCTGGCCGACTCTGCTATGGCAGGTTAGTTAATGTTGTGTTGTTAGTTACTTCTAACTGATAGATGGACCCAAGAGGCAATATATCGACTTTTGATTTTGAAATACCCATTTGTGGATAGAACTGTATTTTGTAAATAGTTTGTGTAATGTATATAGTGTGTAAGGCTGATTGGAACACTGTGCGGAATTTCTGCTATATCATTTCAATTGTTTATCAAACTCATACGGCATCTTGATTTTATTAGAGTATTGGTAGTCCGAAATAATTACACATTATATATGTATTTCACAGCTCACTGTCGCTTCCATAAAGATGAATAGACCCGAAATTGCAGCAAAAGCTGTTGAGGTTGCTGAAAAACGGATATCGCGAGACAAGTGGCCAGAATACTACGACACCAAAAGAGGTAGGTTCATTGGAAAACAGGCACGCCTGTTCCAGACCTGGTCAATTGCAGGATACCTTGTGGCAAAGCTCCTGCTTGCTGATCCTAGTAAAGCCAAGATTTTGACAACTGAAGAGGATTCTGAACTGGTCAACGCCTTCTCCTGCATGATTAGTGCTAACCCAAGAAGAAAGCGTGGTCAAAAGAATTTGAAGCAGACCTACATTGTATGAGTCTGGTTCCGTTATGATTGTGCTCCAGACTGCTAGTTTCGATTGTCTACATACGGGCAAGTATTATTCTGATTTTAATAAATTATGTTGGTGATTATTTGGGAATGGCTAAGTGTCAGATAGCACTTTGCTTGTTCCGTTTGGATAAGCTGATATATTTCATAAGCTTATTCATGCAACACTAAATTCTGTTGTAAAGATTATGTACTTTGACTTTAAATTTACAGTTACCCATTTGAAGCATCCTGTTATTGTATGAAGTTATGAACTCTAGAGACAGTTATTTGTAAATATATATATCTCAGAGTTACAAAATCGAATGATGTTTCATTGGTCAGTTTATTTGTTGTTGTAAATTGCCACTATTTTACTGTTGGTTTCATTAGATGCAATTGAGGGTTAAATTGGAATTACTCTGGATACAAGCTTTTCTCATGTTTTTCCATCTTTGGATAAAAGCTTTGCAAAAAAATGAACTGTTGAATCAACTTCTTATTGTGATGCTCTGGTAAGTGAACTTAGATCAGTGCTATATTTTTCTTTCATCCCTTAATCCCATCCAATCCGAAGCCCGAAGGAAGAAAATATGAATCGCTCTAAACTTGATAAGAGCAGAATTTGATCTTGCTATGGTTGTCTTAAATATCGATAATATCCCCGATGATAATTGACTAAATAAACATCCTACAAAGTTTCAATAAAAATTTCCAAGTTTTTCTTACAATTTCCGTGGTTTTTATTCAATTTTTTCCGATACCGATAATATCCCGATATTTCCTGCGATATTTCCGTATTTTTTGACTTCCGATACTTCCGATACCTCCGACATTTAAGACCATGGTGACAACCAAAAGACTATCTGCTGACACTTACAGATTGGTAGATCTTTCACAAAGCACAAAATCTTGCAATTGCTGTTTAAGCAACAAAGGTTTTTCTTTTTTGATACTAGAATATTGAATTCGAACACAGGACCTTAGGTACAGTGGTAATTGTTCTTAACTACACTACTTGAGTTACAAGTCGCTTGCAACAAAGTTCAATGTTGAGTATACAGACGCTTTTTTATTTTTGTTTGTTGTGGTGTACTGCTTGATCTACAAGCCCCTTGTAACAAAGTTTAAATATATTTTGTTGTGATGTAAATATACCAGATAAAAATGGACAGACGAGATATAACACATTAAAAACGCAAAATAAAGAGAAATTCCTCCTTTTAGGTTAAATAACCAAGTTTTTTAATAGCTGACAATCTTCTTTTTATTTTATAGATAGAAGAAAGAACTCTTTCTTCAGGCCAAAAAAAGAAAAAAAAAAGAAAGAAGAAAGAACTCCACCTTTGACAGACACATTACCCTTTCTTCCTCCTAAAATAATAAGAAAATAAAAAAGCTTCCTCAGCTCCATTTGTCGGCACAGCAGGTATTATTAGTTCTTAAAAATTTATTTTTCTTCCTGGGTTTTGTTCTTAGATCTCTTTTTTCATTTATAAGAATGGACATTTGGGATTAATGGGTTTGTTTTTCTTCTCATTTGTTTCGATTTCTCGTTCATAAAGTGGAGAGTGGGTTTCATCTAGTGAGTTTTTTCCCTTAATCTGTTACAGTTAAATTTTTTGGTTTTTTCTTGATATGAATGTCACTCTGCTCTAAGCTGTAGCACCCTTTTTCTATATTTATTTTTGGTTAATTTGTAGCTCATTTTCATTTTTGTCTGGGTAGGTTTGCTGTTTGATTGTGCATTGTTTTGAATTTAAATTCTATTTTCCTCTGTCACTATGGAGATGGCAGTAAGGAAATTGAAATTCGAAGCAACGATACACTCTTATGACTGCCCATCAAGTGTTTGATTAAATGATGAGTACATTTGGATGACTATCGTAGCGTGTTTTGATAATTTGCCATTTTGTTTTCTTTCTCAATATCATTTAAACAGAGGACCATGAAGAAATAGGCGTGGCAGATAACTGTTCCTGTTTGAGTGCCCAGCTCATTGCTGTTGGTGGTCTTATGGTCAGATATGATGTTTGCCTTACTCATCTGAGAGTCCTTCTCCTAGTTATGATTATGCAACCATCTGGGGAATGATTTTTTATGTTATTCAAAGTCCTGATAAGATTACAAATGAAATTTCTTTTTCTATTTGGCTACAATGCCATCCACAAATCAAACCCTATGTAATTGGAACTCAAGTTGCCGTTTTCAAATTCAGTTAGGCTTCTTGGCAGGCCATAGAGTTTGTTAGGCCGCCAGGCCTTAAAGTTTCATTCACCAAAATTTTTGTTTTGTTTTTAAAATTTTAAAATTTTATTTTATTGTTTTGGATATAGTCACAAGTTCACAACTAGTTGGCATTACTATGATTTTCTGTATTCATTTTGGTCCAAAATGATTAATGTTGGATATTAGTTTCTAAAATTCGTTTGATAATTTTATATGCAGTAAGTACACCTGGCAGGACTTCGGAGCCAAGCTTCAAGAGACTGATAAGCCTTCATCAGATTGCTTAATTCCAGGTAACTCAAAGTCCTCCTTCGTCTTCTTTCACACTTTGGAGATACCCAACTCAATGAATTGCTTCTGCTCGATTCACTACTTGTTGTGCAATTTGCTCCCTCCATTTTAATGGGCATCCCTAAATTTGAGAATACAGAGGTTTTAACGTCCTGTGTGGCTTTTACTTCTTTTGGAGATACCCAACTCAATGAATTGCTTCTGCTCGATTCACTACTTGTTGTGCAATTTGCTCCCTCCATTTTAATGGGCATTCCTAAATTTGAGAATACAGAGGTTTTAACGTCCTGTGTGCTTTTACTTCTCGTTTAATTGGTGTCCTTGGATTTATTAAGTACTGCAAAGTTGCACAGATAATAAGTACCAACCATGAACTGTATATCCCTGTTTGCTCCAAGGGTTATTCAAAAAAATTCGTGTTATGTTGTCGTGGCACGAAAATTAACTGATGGATGCTTTGGTGGGAATAAAGTGGGGAGTGGGAATGAGTTTATAGAGGAACCCTTGAAGAGAACATGGAGAAGTTCGGATTTAGACTCAATGTTAGATGAGAAAGAGAATGTTTATGAGTATGAGAACCATCCCCGGGAGTATTTCTTGCTGAGACGGAGTTCAAGAATGCGAAGATTCATATCACAAGGGTTCTTGAAGTTCTCCAACAAGATGGCCTTGGGTTTGATACGAAAGCAGCTTTGGATGAGTTGCATATAGAGGTTTCAGGTCTTCTTGTGAGAGAAGTTCTCTTCAAAATTTTGAAACAAACAAATTATGTGAGTAAAATCTGGTGTGCAAAGTTGGGGTATAAGTTTTTTATGTGGTCTGGTCAGCTTGAAAATTACAGGCACACAGCAAACACATATCATTTAATGATGAGGATATTTGCAGATTGTGAGGAGTTTAAAGCAATGTGGAGGCTGGTTGATGAGATGATTGAGAAAGACTATCCAACTACAGCATAAACATTCAACATTTTGATACGCACTCATGGTGAGGCAGGCCCGGCTAAAAAAGTAGTGGAAAGATTCGTCAAATCAAAGACGTTGAACTATAGGCCATTTAAACACTCATACAATGCAATTTTGCACTCCCTTCTTTTGGTGAAGCAGCACAAGTTGATTGTTTGGGTCTATCAACAGATTTTGATAGATGGTCACTGTGTATATATTCTAACTTATAATGTTATGATGCATGCAAAATATAGATTGGGGAAATTGGATCAATTTCACAGAATCCTTGAGGAAATGGGTAGAAGTGGATTCAGTCCAGATTTTCATACTTAAAACATTCTTCTTCATGTCCTTGGTAAGGGAGACAAACCACTTGCAGCTCTTAATCTTTTGAACCACATGAAGGAAGTGGGTTTCGATCCAAGTGTTCTTCACTTCACAACATTGATAGATGGACTGAGCAGGGCTGAAAATCTGGATGCCTGCAAGTATTTTTTTCGATGAGATGATAAAGCACGAGTGCTTGCTGGATGTTTTTTGTTACACTGTAATGATCACGGGGTATAGGCCGGGGAGCTTGAGAAGGCTCAAGTAGTGTTTAATGAGATGATCACTAATGGGCAGCTTCTGAATGTATTTACATACAATGCTATGATCTGTGGGGTTTGTATGGCAGGAAAGTTAGAGGAAGCATGCTCCATGCTTAAGGATATGGAATCCAGAGGCTGTAATCCAAATTTCACTGTATACAGCACCCTAGTAAGTTATTTGCAAAATGATGGAAAGCTTACTGAAGCTCATGAAGTAATAACACATATGGTGGAGAAGGGGCAGTATGCGCATCCACTTTCAAAGTTCAAGGGATATAGGAGCTCATTAAGTCGTAGATTCTGTTATTCTCAGTATTTACTTGCAATCTTATAAGAAGAAACTAAATGATCCAGCTCAGTTAACATTATGTAGCTCCTGGCTATCCAGTCAGACCTTGTACCCACAGTTAAAGAAACTCATTCATCCAGCTAACACTATGCAGCTCCTGGCTATCTCAGTTACACCATGTACCCACACCTTGTTCCAGTTGTCTCTGAAGTAAAAAAAAAGTGAAGTATGCACAAGTTGTTTGACCTTATTTTTGTAATGCAAACTGATTGACATATAAACTGCAGTTTGTTCGTGTTTTTGTCGTTATATTTGCACCTGTGCTGTCACTATATTGTTTTTCCATGTTTATGTCACTATTGTTTTTATGCTCTTGTGAAGTCAAAAGAGCTAACTAGAGACTAGAGTACTAGACTGGTTTCACTTAGTATAATGAAACACACTCCCTTGCTCGCTATATCTCTCACCACCGTTTCACCCACCTATCACCCCTCTCATTCTGCTACACTTCCCATCACCACACCCACCAATCTCACCTCTATTTCTTCTTTCCACATTCCACCACCACTTCACCACCTACCTACCCTTTCTCTCTTTCCTTCGCCTCCCACCACCACACTCACCTCTCTTCCTGCTTCAAGGTTTCTTTGTTGCTTTTAGTATATTCATTCTAAGGTACATACAAACACATATACAGTACTATGAATGCGGCTATGCATAGCCACATACATAAGAACATGTAGTTTCCATTTCACACAGATGCAGATATCACTGGCATCTGTTTGAAACCCATCTTTGGATCATTAACCAAAACACATTTAGCACAGGGCTTGCAGATACAGAGACAAAAAAGAAGGGGAACCAGAACCGGAATCAGACCGTTGCAGTGATAACCATACCAGTTGCTCTTAAGATCGCCATTGAGTTTAGAACGAGGAGTTTGTCTCAGTTGCAGGAGAAGACGATGAAAGTCAACATCTT